CTTGAGAAGAGCTCTCTGCATCCCCAGTTTATGAGAAGGAGGAGGAGAGTAGTTGGAGGTCACCAATTGACCAAGAGATTGTTAAATCACTAGGTGTCAACCTAACTTTAAAGGAAAGCCACCTGTGAAGATGTTTTTAGTTTGGCTCCAGTCACTGAGCTACATACTTACAAGATGTGCACTTTCCTTTATGTTATATAAAACTTTAAATATATATATTCGGGGGCACCAGGCTGGCTCAGTCAGTTAAGCATCCGACTCTTGACTTTGGCTCAGGTCCTGATCTCTCGGTTTGTGAGTTCGAGCCCTACATCGGGATCGGCACTGACAGAGCCTGCTTGGGACTCTCTCCCCCTCTCTCTTTGCCCCTCCGCTACTCTCTCTCTCTCTCTCAAAATAAATAAATATTAGGGGCGCCTGGGTGGCTCAGTCGGTTAAGCGGCCGACTTCGGCTCAGGTCATGATTTCGCGGTCCATGAGTTCGAGCCCCGCATCGGGCTCTGTGCTGACAGCTCAGAGCCTGGAGCCTGTTTCGGATTCTGTGTCACCCTCTCCTCTGACCCTCCCCCATTCATGCTCTGTCTCTCCCTGTCTCAAAAATAAATAAACGTTAAAATAAATAAAAGATAGATAGATAGATAGATAGATAGATAGATAGATAGATAGATTCACAACATCTAGGATATGTTCTAGGCACCTACATAATTGTTAAAGCTTCCTGTGTTTCTCAGTAGCATCTAAGGTTAAGAACTCTTGATAAGAAGTGACTAGGGACCCCAGAGCAAGTAGATGAAGGAGAGTGTGGTGTAGGCAAAGGGCAAGGATGCTGAGGCAGGACTTCAATCATACTTAGAATAATGATGTTCCAGAAAGTCCAACAGACTGATAGGTTGATACACACAAAACCTCTGGGTGTCAAAAACAAACAAACAAAAAACACACCAAACCAGCATTTAAAAATATAAGCAGCAGGTAATTGGGGAAAAAATTATAGCAAAAGGTTAATAGCCTTACTATTTATATAAAACTCTCACAGATCAAAAAGAAGATGAGCACCCATTAGAAAAACAGAGTACAGACATGAACAGGCAATTCAGCAATACAATGAGTCAATACATTTATAAAAAGTGGTCAGCCTCACCAGGAATCAAATAAATGCAAACTAAAACAACAAAGAGACGTTATCTTTTGCCTAGCTAATTGGCAAAGATTAAATACATGATAATACCTCATGTTAGTGAGGGTGTGGAAAAAACAGGCACTGTCATTCACTGGTGGGAGTGCAAATTGGTGCAACCTTTCCAGAAGGCAATTTGGCAATGTTTAAGGATGAGGAAGATCGCATACCCTTTTGATGCAGCAATTCCACTTTTAGAAAGATTGCCTTAGGAAATTATTGTGGATAGTAAGAAAGAAACAATAATAGCTAACCTTTGTTTCATGCTCTGTGCAAGCCTGGCTTTACATGCATGGTCTCATATGATCCTTACAGCTATCATCCCATGAGGTAGGAGCTGTTATTATCACCCGTATTTCATGGATACGAAAACCGAGGCACAAAAGGATTAGGTCAATAGCCTGAGGACACAAAGCTAAGAAGTAGCAAAGCCTGGATTTGAATCCAGGCGGTCTGAGTCAAGAGCCATCCCGCGTGTCCAGCCGTACACGCTGGGTGTGTACAAAGGATGAACACTGCGTGCGCTGGATGAACACACTGGATCCATATACTGAGTCAGGTTGCCAGGATGTTCCTCTGGGCCTGCTAATCCTGTGGGGGATGGGAGAAAACATGCTGCATACCCCAGGACAGGAATTGGTTGCATAAATGATGATACACCTACACCGGGATAGTATACAACCATGAAAAATGAGAAGATAATGTGTAAACAGTAGGGTTTGTATAAAATACCTGAAATGTCTCTGAAATGATATAAACAGAACTGATACAATTGGTTGCCTCCTGCAAAGACAATTGTGTGGCTGTGGAAAGAAGTTAGACGGTGACTTGTTTTTTGGTTTTATTTTAGAGAGAGAGAGAATGCAAGGTGGGGAGAGGGGGAGAGGGGTAGAGGGAGAAAGAATCCTTTTTTTTAATGTTTATTTAAAGAGAGAGAGGGGCGCCTGGGTGGCGCAGTCGGTTAAGCGTCCGACTTCAGCCAGGTCACGATCTCGCGGTCCGTGAGTTCGAGCCCCGCGTCGGGCTCTGGGCTGATGGCTCGGAGCCTGGGGCCTGTTTCCGATTCTGTGTCTCCCTCTCTCTCTGCCCCTCCCCCGTTCATGCTCTGTCTCTCTCTGTCCCAAAAATAAATAAACGTTGAAAAAAAAAATTTTTTTAAAGAGAGAGAGAGCAGGGAAGAGGCAGAGAGCAAGAGGGAGGAGAGAGTCCCAAGCAGGCTCCACACTGCCAGGCAGAGCCCGATACAGGATTCGAACCCATCAACCGTGAGATCATGACCCAAGCTGAAACCAAGAGTCAGATGCTTAACCGACTGACCCACCCAGGTGCTCCGGGAGAGAGGAGTCGTAAGCAGGCTCCACGCTCAGCATGGAGCCTGACCAATGTGGGCCTGGATCCCACAACACTGGCATCATGATCCAAGCCAAAATCAAGAGTCGGAGGCACAACCAACTGAGCCACCCACGTGCCCCAGAGGGAGACTTGTTTTTTAAACCATATACCCTTTTACACTTCTTGAATTTTGATTTATGTGAAGATATGAAAATATGTGTATATCTATAAATATATATACATGTAAGTTATGTTTAGAGCTATTCTGCATAACTTTATTTCCTTGAAATGCTACTGAGGGTTCTGAAAAAAAAGTTCTAAGACCCTTGGTTGGAGAATCATACCAAAGTCAGTGATGATACTTCTTTAACCGTGTTTCCCCACTTGTTCCCCAAACTGATTTGATCATGGAACTCTTTTCTTAAGTAATACCTATTATCATCCCTCTGGATATTCATGTCCTATAGAATTCAGTTTGGGAAATGCTATTATTAATAATTAATGCCAACGGGCGCCTGACTGGCTCAGTAGGAGCATGTAGCTCTTGATCTCAGGATGGGGAGTTCAAGCCCCACGTTGGGCGTGGAGCCTATTTAAAATAAATAAACAAACAGGGGCGCCTGGATGGCTCAGCTGGTTAAACATCTGACTCTTGATTTTGGCTCAGGTCATGACCTCACGGTTCGTGAGATTGAGACTCGCCTCTGGCTCTGCATCGACAGCACGGAGCCTGCTTGGGATTCTCTCTCTGCCCCTCCCCTGCTCGTGCTTTCTTTGTCTCAAAATAGATAAATAAACATGAAAATTTTTTTTAATAGACAAAGTATTACAAAATAATTAAGGCCAAGCTCAAAGGTCTTGTTTCATTAAATGAAAGAAACATGTTACTGACACTGACCCATTTGTTTACAACGCGTGTGTGTGTCGCTATACATTACTTCTGAGTACTAGGATGATGGATGATTGCTTCTTTTATCCATCTATATTGTTAAGTTTTCCAAAATGAACAAAATCATTTCACAAGCACTGTTTTTTGGGGTCTATGTTTATCGTTTTTGAGGCTTCAGGAGCCCTTTCTCTCTCTTCTCTCCCCGCTGGCATCTTCCCCCTGCCTCCAAGCAGCAGCTCAGAGGTAGGCTCAATGGGGGACCGCCAGGCCCCCTCAGGCACCTTCGTCCAGAGCCAGCCTAGACCATTCAGTCACCGGACAACTCCCTAGCCCCAGCAGACCATCGCTTCTGCTGTTGGAAGGATTTCAATGAGGTCCTCATTCTCCCAAAAGAGACACGGGCTGCAAAGCAGACACCAGGCTGCTACAAGCCTGACCTGTTGCAAACCCAAACACCTGGGCTCTGGTGCCAGCTCCGTGGCGGCCTGGCTGTGTGGCGTTGGTCAAGTTTCTTAACTTCTCTGAGTCTCATCTTCACCATCCATGTCGGCAATGACACTTGCCTTACAGAGCTCCGGGATCAAATGAGAGCATGCATGAAGGCATTGTGTAACGTGTGAAGGGCTGTCCCAGTGGAATTATTACCACAGCAGGGAGCACGGGCTTGCCCTTACCTTCCTGTGAACAGAGTACTTTTCCCTTTTTTTTTTTTTCTTCTTTTTTTGGTTTAGGTTGTTGAGGGGAAGGGGACAAGGAGATGAAGCATGGGAGAGTGGGCATGTGGAAACAGAATTATGTGTAAGAAAATTGGGAGAAGCCTCTAGTAGCTTGACATTTGCAGGCCTGCAGCACTAGGTGGGCCTGTGCCCACCAGTGTAGCTCCAAGCTTTATCACCCAGACAGCTGCTCCACTCGACCCATCCGAGTGAGCCCAGCCGCCGGACCGCATGGGATTCTCCTGAGCCACGATGCTGACTCTGCCTGGCCCACCTCCCTTCCTACCCGCTCTGACCCCTTAGCCTTCTTCAGCTCTTAGCTAAGTTAGCTCCTCCCCCAGCCTGGATTGGGGTCGCTCCCCTCAGTTTTTGTAACTTCGGGCCTCTGTGAACCATGCTGTGATGTTAATGCCAGGTTACAGCTCTCCTACCAGACTGAACTTCCTGAGGGCAGGAGCGGTGTCTGTCATCTTGGTCTGCCTGTGTCCTCTAGGCCAGCTTAGGCCTGGGGGTCTGGGACACCAGTTAGAGCCTGAGCACTGAAGTCAAGGGAACCTGGGTTTGAATCCCAGTTCACCTTGAGGAAGCGACGTCACCATTTTGAGCCGCAGTTTTCGCCATCCATAAAGGGGCTTTATCACTGCAGTGAGTTCATGGGGTTATTTTCATAAGCTAAGGTTTATAAAATTCCTAGTACCATTCCAGGCATGAAGGAAAGCCCATAGGTAGTAGCCACATTGACACCATGGCAGGCCCTCTGTGAACGCTTATCGAATTGAACTGGCAAATGACACCAGGAGGGGCGGCCCTTCCTGCACTGCTCACACTTGGCACTTGCCTGCCCCCTCTGCCACCAGTGCTCACCTCCCTGCCTTGTACCCCACAGCCACCCGGCCCAAGCTGAAGAAGATGAAGAGCCAGACGGGACAGGTGGGTGAGAAGCAATCACTGAAGTGTGAGGCAGCAGCGGGCAACCCTCAGCCCTCCTATCGCTGGTTCAAGGATGGCAAGGAGCTCAACCGCAGCCGTGACATTCGCATCAAGTACGGCAACGGCAGGTGAGAAAAAACACTCTGTCCACCCGGCTGCCCTCCATCCTCCCTGAAAAGGAGGGACCGGCCCTGGTCCCCCCTTCCTGGCCACACCCAATCTCTCCTTGCAGCTCTGGATTATGTTTGCCCAGTGTCGTGCAGGCTGTAGATGCTTAATGAATGTCTCTGGATGGATTATCAAACTCAGCTTTACCTGCGGAAGTCCCCTCTTGTCCCCAAAACTTCTCACAGGATCTGCCACAGTGTCCGAAAGCCCACATTTGGCCATCTTCAGGGAAAGACTGGTTCCAGGCTGCATCTGGGAGATCATGAGTGATGACCTCCACCTTTTTCTCTCCAACGCCAACCCTCTCACATCACCTCCCTTCTGAAAGCTTTCCCTCCACATCGCTGCCCCTCTCCCTCCTCCACTTCTTGCCCATCCCACTTCTCTCCACCATCATGGAGGGTCAGTTTCATGTCCACTGACTCCACCCTGTCGTCCTCCACACCTCTTTGCCTTCCTGGAATCTGCCTTGTAAATACACCCCCACTCTGCCTATGGCTGTGGCTCTTGAGAGACCTGGCAACCTCAGACCTCCCACGCCCCTTGCCTCCAGGCCCCTCTGCAGCCACTGGCATGGATGCCACCTGCTCTCTTGCCTCTGCAGCCCCCCTTCCTGGTCCTTCCGTGCCTCTGACCATTCTCTCAGTCACCATCAGGGCTGGAAGTTTCCTGTCGCGGGGGCTTCTCTCCTCTTCTCCCTCCCTCTCCACCTGTGGGTGATTTCACCCTCTCTGAGCTGATAACCCTGTGATGACTTTTTTTTTTATACCGGAGTTCCAGATCCACACTGCCAGCTGAACACTAGATCCCACCCCCAAGATATCCACAGACAGCTCTGATCCTGTATGCCCCAGTCTAGCCTCTCCCCCTTGCCCTCTCTGGCCCTGCCTCACCCTCCTGTGCTCTCCTCACAGCTGTCGTGGAAGTGGAGTGCCTGCTGCTTGGCACCACCCCCTCCAGCGGGAGACACCCTGCTCCCTGCCCTGCATGTTTCTTATCTGCTCTCCTGCCTCTGGCCTCTTGTCCTCCACGGTCCCACTCTTGGCCATCCCCACTTTTCCTGGGCCACAGGCCCGTTTGTGAGCTCATCTCTGTATCTAACATGTGCATATGGAACATCAGCCCTGTGCCAGGCACTCTACTCTGCCAGAGGCTGGACGTACACTGGCGATTGACCCAGACATGGTCCCCACCCTCACAGAGCCTCTAGTCTAGCTTCCAATACAGAATGTGGTGAAGGCCCCCACCCTTTTTTTCAGAGAAAAATGTGCCTTATCCACCCAGTTTTGCTTATAGTTTTAGAGGTCCACTGAGCCCTGTGACCCTGGCAGGGGATGACCTTTCTAACATGGACACATATCTGATCATTCACTCATTTGCTGGATAGATCTTGAGAGCCTGCTGTATGCCAGCCTCAACCCAGACCTCAGGACCCTTCCAACTTCTCTCTTCCTCACCTTTAAGTCACTGCCATGCTGCTCCCCAACTCCTCAGTGCTCCTGATCCCTGGTTTTTCCTTTCATGACCCTGGACTTGGACCCCAGCTATGCTGGCAGCTCCCCCCTCCCCCACCTTGTCCCTGGCAAAGTTCTCCAGGTCCAGATTAAATGTCATATCCTCTGGGACACCTCCCTGAACCCTCCAGGAAGCTCTCATGGTCTCTTCTCATGGTGCCTTGGACACCGTTCCATTCATTTTGGGGGTTCTCTTTCCCTCTAGCATGAGAGAGCCTCAGAGGCTGGATGCCACCCATATACACCCTTTTGCCCTGTACAGCCTGGCAGAGGACATCCGCATTGAGTGTTACATTGATGAGAATCTTGCAGAACTAGATGTCCTCTCCCGGGTTCAGGGCGACTCTAGGACTGGACAAGACACCCTTTGGGTTGACCTAGACTTTGAGCAAGTTACTGTCCTGGTTAAGCCTCACTTTTTTTTTTTTTCTTCAAGTTTATTTATTTTGAGAGAAAGAGAGTATGTGCATGCATTAGTGGGGGAGGGGAAGAGAAATTTGGAGAACATCTCAAGCAGGCTCTGCACTGTCAGGGGAGAGTCCGACACAGGACTCAAACCCACAAACTGAGATCATGACCTGAGCCAAAGTCAGACGCTTAACCAACTGAGTCACCCAGGCGCCCTAAGCCTCATCTGACAAATGGGTTACCCAGTCCAGAAAGAGTACGTGGTCAAGTCTTTCAGTCCTGGGTATTGGGGACCCCTAAGAGCCTGAAGTGTGCCTCCTGCCTTCTTTCTGTTAGGGCCCTGTCCCATTCGCTGCATTCCTGAAACTTCGCTCCACCCAACCTGCTCCTGGGCTCCCAGCAGCGAGTTGGCTGGGTAGAAGACGGGGAGCTGTGATGGAGAACTTCTGATTCCCTCACTGTGGCAAAGAGGCCTGCCACCTCCACACACACGCTTCACCTACCAGGGGGGCCAGGGACAGGAGCAGGAGTCTCCATTCTGGCAAAATCTCTCTTTCCTTCCACCCACACTACAGCTTGCTCTTTGGTCATCCTAGCACGCCATCTGCCAGGCCACAGTAGCTCTTGAAATGGCTCTTGGTTCTCAGAGGCCCCCTTCCCGGCGGGTGCTGGCTATCTCTAGGGCCGCCATGCTGAGGTGTCTCACCCAAGCCTTCCTGTGCCAGAAGAAAACCAGCCCCCCCAAGCCCTGGGCGCAGGTCCCTCCCCTGCAGAACCGCGTGTTCCCTTATTTATGAGGGGCAAGCTGGAACAGGCCCCTCAGGCAGGCAGCAGGAGGTAGGCACTGAGGAAATGTGCGGACGGGTGGAGGATGCGTTCCTGCCAGCAGAAAACTGGCTGAGGAAGGAGGGGAGGTGCACCCATCACAGGGGCAGGCCTGGGTCATTGTGGCGAGCGGGCACTGGGCACCAGGAAGGTGGGAGAGAATCTTGAATCCTCGGGGCTTCCTACGGGAGCTAGGAATGAGAAGAGAATGTAGTGGCCCCTGCTCCTCTAGGGCTAAGAGAACCATAGAGCCTATACCCTTTGGCTCTGACCCCAGGGTCTCTTATGCAAGTCTGGGCCCCCCTCCCTGGAACTGACGAGATCATCACACAGCTGATAAACTAAGGTGCCTGCAACCAGTAAACCTAGGGGTCATTGCTTCTGTCCACTTGCCTCTTTCCAGTTCCTCAAAGGAGAGGGCCTCTCCCTGAGCCCTGGACCTACACTTTCTGAAGGTCTCATATACCTTGTGTGGGAAGGCCTTCCTTCCATTTCCAGCTTTTATCCCTCCAGGTATCTGTGAACCTAACTCCACCTTTCTTTCCTGTTACATGGGATGTGGTGTAAAGGAAGCTCCTTTGAGTACAGCAGTGGGTGAGAAGGAGATTCTGGCTCTGTGCCCCCTATACCTTAACCCTGCGAGCCTCAGGTGGTCATCTGCGCTTCTCACCCAGTGTCAGGGAATTGCTGCTGGTGGCCAAGAAGTGAGAGAAGCCTGGTCCTGGGGCAGCTGGACTTTGTGGTATCTAATTAGGCTGCAGCCAGGAAGGAGATGCTGTTTTAGCCAGAGGGGCCTCCAGGGCTCTGTTTAATGAGGAGAACAAACTTGAATTGACAGAAGAGGTTTGGAGGCAGACACCAGGCCAAGGAGACAGAGACTGGCTTGAGCTGGGAAGGGTTGGAGGGATGGAGTTGCGGGGGCAGCCAGGCAGCTGTCGCCGAGACATCAGCGAGGATGTCACCACAGCAACAGGGCCTGCTGACCAGACAACCTCATGGACCCTCATTTGGAGGATCTTAGAGTGAGGTGATCTGAGAGGAGGCCCCCCCTGGAGGCAGAGGCGAGCCCAGGAAACGGGGAGCTCCAGAGTACAGCCCCAGTGACGATGGCGGTCCGTTTGCCGCCTCCTCTACCCAGGGCCCAGCCTCGCTCCCCTGTCCTTCCCCCAGCAGCTTTCGTGGCTCTGGTTTTCATCCCTGGGCTTAGGACAGTGACAGCTGTACTGCCCTACCTCCTGTTCCACCACCCCTCCAACACACAACACAGATTCTGGGAATCTGGTGTTTTAATTTGGGGCTAAAAAGAGGAAGAGGTTACATCATGTAAAGAAATTTTCATGCTACTTCTTGTTTCCCCCTGGGGGCCGGGCTGGGGTACTAGGCTTTATCCAGAGCTCGGATGGGCCCCTCAAGAGCACTGTGGCAGAGAGAGGGATGGGAGGTGTGAACAGACCCTGCAGAGCCCAAGTACCCTGGGGCAAGCGCAGAGAAACCCTGGGAAGGAAGGAGAGGTTTGGCAGGGTCTTCAGAAAGAAGAGGAGAACCGGGGCCTGGTGCCCTGGAGTCACACAGCACGGAGTCCCTGCCCAGGCCTGGCCCCACAACTCTCGGCATGCAGGGACTGGGTGAAAAGCCCTTCACAGAGGGGGCTAGCCCCAGCCTCGGGCTCTGGGAGATAGTCCATGAGCCACTGAGGGGCCCGTGTCCCACCAATTCCCGCTTTTCACCCACCTCTGCTTTCACCTTGCCAGGTGTTTTTGGACAAATCCAGAAGCCCCTCTAGGACTCAGTTTTCCCATCTGTACTGCCCTGTCCGCTTTCATGTTAGCCATGAGGGGCAAGTCAGGCCGTTAGGATTAGGATCTGTTTGTTCCCTTGACGTATCCAAAATTCAAGGACACAGAAGCTTTATTAAATTGACGAATGAATGAATGAATGAGTGAATGAAGCTAAAGCCCCTGGGAGAGGCCCCAGAGTACCCCTGGTGGCAGGGCTAATATGAAGACAGGGGAGCTACAGTTTGGGACCAGGAGGCTGGGCACAGTTACCATGGGAACCTGTTAGATCAAGGGCCTGCCCAGGTACCTGGGAACAGGTCTTCCATATCTAGAGTGACAGGCTGCCACTTCTAAGGGAAGGCTGAGGTAAATGGCAAGCCAGAGGCTGCCCTGTTTTGAGGGAAACACCGCGACTGGGGGAGGGACACCAAAAGGAGAGGAGAGAGGTAGCCATGTGACTTCCTTAGGAGACCCCACTTTTCTCCCCCACAAAAAGGGTACAAAGAAGGTCTGGCCCTAGAAAAGTGGACATGCGGGTTCATAGATTTAGAACATATGTGCAGCCACTAGCTCTTCCCTGTGTTCTCCTGAGCCCCTACGTCCCCCTCCAGCTCCGGGGACTCAGCATTCTACCTGGAACCCAGAATCTGCTTCCCACCCACCCTGCACAGCCACTGGGGCTGTATGGGAAGAGGTGACCGCTGGGAATCCACAGACAGCCAGGGCCTTGGCTCACATCTCTCCCCCTCTTATCCCCTCCCTAACCAGAAAGAACTCACGACTACAGTTCAACAAGGTGAAGGTGGAGGACGCTGGGGAGTATGTCTGCGAGGCTGAGAACATCCTGGGGAAGGACACGGTTCGGGGCCGGCTCCATGTCAACAGCGGTAGGTGGTCCCCCAACAAGGGGAGGGGTCCTGTGGGTGTTTGATGGGGCGGGCCAGTTGCCCCCAGCCCTCTGGAGGCCCGCACATGATCCATCTTGCACTTGATTCCCCTCCCCTCCTGCTGCTGCCCTATCAATCCCCGAGATCTGGGCCGATTCAGAGAAATGCAGTCCAAGCATAAATGTTTAGCTTTGTTATCTGGGCCTGGAAGAGCCGCCAGCTCTCATTTTAAATATCCTGAAAACTAAATATTTTGAAATCAAGAGGTGGGGGTGGGGAAAAGATATTTTTAGAAAGCAATTATGGGAGGCTGGGCTGCCAGGAGCGGGGCTCCGGGGAGAGGCAGGCCCCGGGCGTGTGGGAGCTGACTGCCTGTTGCTTTGCTGGGCACCCGAGTGCAGGCAGCCATCTTGGTGGGGGCCATGGCCAGGAGACTTGGGTGGATTGGCCCCTGCGGGCGGCCTCTTTTCAGGGACTGCAGACCCTTCTCCAACAGGTGGGCCTCTTCCTTAAAAACATACGCAGTCAGGGTGCCTGGGTGGCTCAGTCGGTTAAGTGTCCAACTTCAGCTCAGGTTCTGATCTCATGGTTCATGAGTTCAAGCCCCGTGTCAGGCTCTGAGCTGTTAGCTCAGAGCCTGGAGCCTGCTTCAGATTCTGTGTCTCCCTCTCTCTCTACCCCTTCCCCTCTCGCACTTTCTCAAAAATAAACGTTAAACAAAATTAAAAACATGCGAGTTCAGGAGCCCACAGCACCCAGGGCACCCTTAGCTTCCTGCCTCCACCATGGCAGCTACAGTGTCAGTGGGCAGACAACCTAGTTTCCCTTGACCGGAAAGTGGCCGGAGCTGCCTGTCCTTAGACCGCATGCTTCCACTCTAGCCCCGGGAACTAACTCCAAACCAGGAACTAACTCCAAACAGCTCGCTGTCTTCCCAGCACCACCCACACACTGGGCATATCACTTGGCTACCTGATTATTTGGGTTCGCTTCCAGGCCTGCCCCTGCCCATCTAATCCTGTATCTGCCTTCACCTGCCAGTACTTCCACTGGACAGGCCTCCAGTGCTCCCTAAACCCAGCATTATCAGGAGAACGTGGAATGTTCCTTGCCCTGAGACCCTTGGAGAAAAACCCGCTGCAGACCCTGCCTGCCCCATGTTGTAAGGGGTTCCCCTATTCTCCCAGGTTCTGAGGCTCCTTGTCCACTATATTGTATAGTTCCAGGTCTCAGAGTCCTGGTTGATCTTCTTTCTGGATCTTTCTCACATCCGTACCCCCCATTCCAACCCTATGTCAGAGGCAACCTGGCCCAGGTTTCATCTTGATTCACCTAAACCTGAGCAGTAGCCTCTTAAGATGCTTTTATCTTGTCATGCCCCTACCCCATGGTACCACAGAACAAGGACTTTGTCCACAACCCAGTTCACACCAACTTGGCGCAAACGATCTTTCCAGCCGTAACTGTGTCAGTCCCTTACAGTCCATTCATATTCCTCTTCTCGTGCCATCTCTCCCAGGCTGCCGTCCTCCCTGACCCCTTCATCCCACCAGTGTCACCCCCAGGCCTCACTCCCAGGCCACTTCTTGGCCAACTGTGGTCTTTCCTGAATTCTAGTGTATCATTTTTCAAATCTCATACTGTTGCTGATTTTTTTATGCAAGTGTGACCTCCACCATGGAATGATGGAGACAGGAGCGGGGAGAGCAGGAATGATGCCTTCTCCCCAGGAGTTACAGTAACAGCTACTGTTTACCGAGAGCTGCTCCATTCCACATTCCACACTATATCTTGAACCCTGACAAGCCCATGGTGTATTTTATAAATTAGGAGACTGAAGCTCAAAGTGGTTAAATATTCTGCCCCAAGTCTAACTGATGGTTCACGAGAGCACTATACAATGTAAAAGTAGTTAGCAAACACTGAGACCCGGAGCTCCGTGGGGCTACGTGTAGCCTGATCGCCATTCTAACCTCAGAGCCTAACACAGTGCCTGGCTTACAGTACGCACCTGGTAAATATAGAAAAGGATTTATAATCTTCTCCAAGGCCTTTACTGACTCCCATATGCTCCAGTACCTGCCTTCCCTGCTCCTCCTAACCTGTCCCAAGCCCAGGAAAATGGACCATGCTAGGTGTCCAGCACCTGTTACCTCCAGCCATAGTGGGCAGACATTCTTAGATCCACTTTGGACTTGATGTTTATTGTTTTATTATTCAAGATTTTCTTGGTTAGAACTGACAAGAACCCAACTTAAAACTACCTTAAGTAATTGATTGGTTTTTAAAACTGGGAAATCCACAGGTAGAACTGATAGAATCCAAGTCCTCAGAGTCTGGATCAAGATGCTCTCTCCCTCTGGGTATTGTCCTCACTCTCTCCTACGGCAAAATGGGCTTCTCCCATGTTTGGGGAATGGATTGGGAAGAAGAGGCCATGGCCTCAGACAGCTCCATGTTTACATCACCCCAGCCTCTCTCCCAGAGAAAAAGAGATAGCTTTGTCTCTACATCCACTCATATGATCACAAGGATGGATGCCAACTGACCGTACTTAATTCACACGCCCCGCTTGGCCCAGTCACTGTGCTCAGGAGATGGGGTGGCATCTTTTCCAGGCTAGTGTGTATACAGAGTCTGAGTGATGGGCCTGCCAGAACTACACAGGGGCACTTCCCTCGACGGGTGTCGGCAGTAGAGTAAGAGGGAAGGGCTGCTGTGCGGAAAACCATAGCAGTGCCCTCTCTCCTGTGGGTTTGGGGTCTGAGACTGTAGACCTTTTTAAGACCCCCTCAGATAAGCTGAAGCCCCACCCCACCCATGGCCTTCTGTCAGCCCTTAGCAGTCCGTGTTCTGATCAGTGGAGGTTTGGGCTGGGCCCTGGGAGCTTCCCACAGGGCTCCATGCCTTTCCTCCCTCCAGCCCAGCAGGAGAGCGGCAGGGCAGAGTGGCAGAGAGTCCAGAGCTTTGGTCTCTTCTGAGCTCTGTCGTGCAAGCCTGGGAGAGTTCCTCCACCTCGCTTATCTTCCATTTCCCCCTGTGAGGCGGAACCAGATCATCTCTAGACCCGTTGCCCATAAAATTCTGGGATTCTGAGTTTGATGTCGAGACTGACACTTGTGCACCTAGCCACCACCACATGCGTGCACGCGCGCACACACACACACACCCCACCTCTTCTGTTGCCATGCTCAGTTCATAGTAGGCCCCTACCCTTGACATGGGGCGGTGAACAGGGCCACTTGCAGGGTATCAGGAGGATCCCCGTGGAGGACATTTCCACAGGCAGAGATACCCAGGCTCCTTGTTTACCCATGGAACCCAGAAGACTGGCAGCAACCGCACCCTGGGGAGGAGATGAAGGGCGGGTAGCGGGCAGCTGTGCCTGCCCCCTTGTGACTCATCCCAAGGTGGGTTGGTTTGGCCCGCCCGGGCCCCAGGGAAGCCAGGGCTAAGGGGCGGGGTGGCCAGAAGAGGGCACAGGAGGCAAGGAGCAGTGGCTGTTCAAGGGGGCATTGCTGCGACTCTTGGCTCCCTGCTTTGGCTCTGTTCCTGCGGAGCCTGATGCTCCTTCCTCAAATTGAAGCCGACGCTTCTTACTTACAGTCATAACTCTACCAGCTCACGAGAGACTGCCTTCCTGGTTGCCTGGGAGGAGGAGGAGTCAGCAAGAAGTGTGTGGTGCTGTTAATAAAACAATCAGCTTGGTCCGACCCATCTCTGGGTTATGGAAACCAGCTGCCTCATCCCCAGCTGAAAGAGATCTCGGGAATATCTCAGGGTGGCTGCTCCAATCCCAGGATATCGATCTGAGCCTAGCTTTGCCCCAGAGGGTAGGCAGACTTGACCTGGGGTGTCACAAGACCATGGAAGCCCTGGAGAGGGAGTCCCTTACGGGGGCCGGGGTGGGGTGGGGTGGGGGGGCTTAGAAAGGCTGGCTGTTTAATCACACACACGCACACCTGCTCTTTTGCTCACATATTCAGTAAGGCCTTACTCAGAAAGACCCTGCTGTAAACTCAGGGGAGTCATAGTCTTGGCTTCTAGTCTAGGTCCCTCAAAGTTCCTGATAGGAAGCTAAAACCCAAATTCAGAGCATCGGCCCGTTCTAACCCATGGAAGAGGAAAGAGAGGCAACTTTAACAGCAGGAAAGGGGGCAGACTGAGCAGGTGGGAGGGAGCCTTGATGGAGCAAGATCACTTGACCTGGGCCTTGAAAGATAAGAAAAGGTTTCTCCAAGAGCAACGGTGAAGAGTGCTTGCAGCAACCGGCTGGCAGGAGACAGGCCCATCGCTATCAGCTCTCCTCCTGGCCCTTCCCTCTTCAAAGCCTGGATAAGCTCATGCCCACTAAGACACTAATGGCTGATAGAAACCTCCTGGGATTACCCTTCCAGGCATTTTCAATTTTAATTCCAATATAATTAGCATGCATTAGTTTCAGGTGCATCGTATAGTGATTCAACAACTCTTTACTTTGCTCTGTGCTCACCACAAATGAGCTCTTCATACCCTGCACCTATTTCACCCATCCCCCACCCCTCTCCCCTCTGGCAACCACTAGTTTGCTCTATTTAAGGGCCTGATTTTTTTGTCTCTTTTTCTTTATTCCTTTGTTTCTTGAATCCCGCATATGAGTGAAATCATATGCTGTATATGTCTTTCTCTGACTGACATATTTCACTTTGCATTGTCCCCTAGATCCATCCAAGTTGCAAACATTGAGATCGCATTCTTTTTTATGGCTGAGTAATATTCCATTATGTATGTATATACCACATCTTTTCTATTCCTTCATCTATGGATGGATACTTGAGTCCCTTCCATATCTTGGCTATCGTAAATAATGCTGCAATAAACCTAGGGTTGCACATATCTTTTTGAATTAGTGTTTTCATATTATTTGGGTAAATACCCACTAGTGGGATTATTGGATCATATGCTAATTTTACTTTTTTAAGGAACCTCCATACCGTTTTCCACAGTGGTTGCACCAGTTTGCATTCCCCCCAACGGAGCACAAAGGGTTCCTGTTTCTCCACAACCTCACCAATACTTGCTGTTCCTTACATTTTTTATTTTAGCCATTCTTCCAGGCATTTTTTTTTTTTTTGAGAAAGAGAGCGAGCATGCAAGCCAGGATGGGACAGAAGGAGAGAGAGAATCTTAAGCAGGCTCCACGTTCAGTGCAGAGCCTGATGCAGGACTCGATCCCACAACCCTGGGATCATGACCCAATCCAAAATCAAGAGTCTGACACCCAACCAACTGAGCCACCCAAGCTCCCCCTCCAGGTAATTTTTAAAGTCAAAAAATTGTAGGTATAACTTATATACCATAAAATTCACCCTTTTAAAGTATACAATTCAGTGGCTTTTAGGATTTTCACAAGGTTGAATAACCATCACCACTAATTCCCAAATATTTTCAGAAACCCTAAACCCATTAGCACACGCTCCCCAATCCCGCATCCCTCAGCTTCTGGCAACCACACACCTATTTTCTGCCTCCACAGATTTCCCTAATCTGGACACTTCATATAAATAGAATCATATAATATGTGGCCTTTTATGACCGGTTTCTTCCATTTAACATCAGGTTTTTGAGATTCATCCATGTTGTAGCATACAGCAGCACGTCTTTCCTTTTCGTGACTACTATTCCATTGTATGGATAGAACATCTTTTGTGTATCCATTCATCAGTTTGGGTTGTTGGGTCATCTGAGGTGTTTCCCCATTTGGGCTATTAGGCACAACGCTGCTAGAATATTCATGAACACGTTTTTGGGTGGACATAGGTTTTTCATTCTCTTGGGTATATACCTGGAAGTGTAGTTGCCTGGTCACATGGTAACTCTAGGTTTCATTTGTTGAGGAACTACCAGGCGGTGTTCTAAAGTGGGTGCACCATTTTATATTCCCACCAGCAATGTACAGAGATTCCAATTTCTCCACATCTTCACCACTGTGTGTTATTGTCCATTTGACTATAGCCATCCAAGTGGGTGTGAAGTGGTATCTCATGGTGGTTTTGATTTTCATTTCCCCCAGTGACCTGCCAGGAAAATTTGCACTATAGGAGATGATGCTTCAGTCATCATCAGGCCAAGTTGACCAGGGTAGCTCCTGGGATGGTAGAAGCCACCTCACTCTGAAGATTCAGATATTTGTTTGCTCATAACGAATATTTGTAAACACTTGTTAGGCACCCCGTTACATCTCAAGCACTATGCTGAACATTGGAGTTTGTTGTTGAAGACAGACATGGACCTTGTCCAGATGGAGCTTACATTCGGGTGAAGGAGCTGGTCACTTAATTATGTTAGAATAAGTACTAGACGTGCAAATGTACACAGCTAAGAGAAGGAGTGAGGGAGGAGCCCGGGAAGCCTCTCTGAGATGCTGATACTTTGAAAACCCTGGACGGGAAGACACCTGGCTTGGTAGAGGAGCTGGACTAAGCCAGTATAGTACGAATATACTCTAAGAGAGGGATAGGACACGAAGTGGGGGAGGCGGGGGGACTGGGGAAAGTATTCTGAGTGTAAATGGAAGCCATTGGAGGGCTTTGATCGTGGCAGTGATTGACCGCTTTTACCTATTTTAAAGATCACTTTGACAGCAATGAAGCAAAATGGTGAGAGATGAAGGCAAGAGTGAGGGCAGAAAGAGCGGTGAAGAGGCTGTGTTGTGGTCATCCGAGAGAGAGACCATGGAGGCCCGGGCTGGGGACCAGTGGGGACACATGGACAGAGCCTTGTGAGGAGGTAGAAAGGCAGCCTCAGTGATAGATGGGTGGGAATAATAAAGGACGGAAAGGTATTCAAGATGCCCTCCACGTCTTAGGTTTGTGCTGCTCAGAGCAAGCCTGGGGGAGCAAGTGACTGGGCAGATGATCAGGAGCCCCACCTGGGGAGGCTGTGGACCATCCCAATGGGGGCGTCAAGAGGGGGCGGCCAGAGTCTCCAACCTGGAGTCCGTAGGTCATCTTCACTTCCCCAAACATGGGAGAACACAGTGAAGAAATACAGATATGCTGACAAGGGAGCGTAGACAAGCTGCCGTGGGAGTCCGTGTGTGCTGGAACAGCATGAATGTGCATCTTCAGTGTGGAAATCTTCCTGGCGTGAGCCTTCCCCACCAGCAGAGCTGGGCTGTGGGGACTTGGGAAGGCCCTGCCATCAGAGTGGGTGGCCTCAAGTTCCTTCTGAAGTGGAAAGGCCTGTGGTCATTCCCCCCCACAACCCCCTGTGACTGGCTCCCCCATTGCCCACCCTTTTTTGCCTTTCTGGGCCTTGGCCTAGTCCCCATGATGACATGGTTCTGACAGCCCAGGCCATGCATCCCAGCTGAGGCCCCATCTTGCTTCAAGAGTCATCCTCTGCCTCCCAAGGCCTCCACGAGCACAGACATGCATGTGGACAGCTGTGGTCCGCCGCCACCATCCTCACGTCTGTCCGCTGCTCACTCAGCGCAGCAGTGGGCAGTCTTTGCCACCCACAACCGCAGAGGGAATCAAGACTCCTGCCTTAGCCAGCTCCCTCGAGAGGCCCCGGCCGGTGGTCCACACCGTGTTTGCATTCGTCTGCTGATGTCAAGCCTCGGTGCTGACGTGTTCTTCCACGAGGGACTGGCCGGCTGGGGAGAAGGCTCAACCAGGCGTCAGGAGCCCCGAGGCCTTGTCACAACACACACCGTGGCTCTGGACGGGCGTTCCCCTGCTCTTTTTCTTCACTCCTCCTGGTCAGTGTAACTGAAGGGCAGGGCAACCTCTGGTGTCCCCCAGAGCAACGGATTTTACAACTCGCAGGCAAGATCACCTCAGCTGTTTCTCTTCTCTGTCCTTTTCTTGGTTCCCTGGGTCTCCCTGACCCAGAGTGGGCAAAGACCAGCAGAGGCCTCCTGCCCCTGCCAGCACGCAGGTCCCAGCTGTTGACAGGGGACCACCGCAGGGTTGGGGTTCAGGGATGCCAGAGCAGCAGCAGGCATGGTGTGGAGGGGAAGGTGGGAGCTGGCCCTGCCCACCGGGTTTTATCAGCAAGCTCCTCAGACATATACAGAGGCAGAGCTGTGTATACACTCCCAGTCCCCGCGCTCCATCTGTCTCCCACATGTCTAAACACTGAGGGCGCCAAGTGCCTGCCCTCCTCCTCCTCCTCCTCTCAATCCCATCACCACGGAGAGGGGGTGGATAGGGACTCGGTACCCCTGAGGAGACAGGAGCACCTCAGGAGGCTGCTGCTGGGTGGGAGTGAGAGACCCTCAGAGCCCCAGAGGCTGAGGGACTCCCTGATCTGGGTACACAGCCTCAGGAGTTAGCTTACAGATGAAAACATTTGGGGCAAGACTTTTCACTTGAAACCAGGTTTCTGGATGGCATCCCGTGGGTGAGCAGGACCTTAGTTATTTTCATGGATCAAATGAATCTGACCAATCAGATGTGCTGTGTGGGTCAGCAGCCTCAAAGCCCAGCCTCACTCTCACCAAGTTTTCACTTCTCAGCCATCATACAGGCCTCTCTCAAGCCCACCTCCTGTCCAGCAACCTGACGTCCAGGATTTATAACCTGGACAGTTGAGGCCGGACGCTCCCTTCCAAGGCAACAGCTGACTGGGTGGGGGAGGACAGGGCTGCCTTGTGAGAGCAGATGCAATGAAAACCCTGGGGTGGGGGCTTATGCGATGGGCAGAGCAGCCTCTCTAGCATTCCTGGGAGGCTTGTCCCCTCTGGGACAAAGGAGGAAGACATAGAAGCTAGGATTCTCCTCCCATCTCTCTAGATCTTAGAGAATGAGTGTCCTAAAGGTGCCATGCCCTTCAAAGCCCAGCTCCCTTCCAGCCACCCTACCTCGAGAGCCCAAGCAGTGCAGACTGATAGAGATGTCTCCTTCCAGCACCCCTGTGACTTTGTTCCCTACAAAACACATGGTGTCTCATCCACCTGCAGTGGAGCCCCTAGAAAGGCAGGCAAGAAGTGGGCTCCTATTCCAGCAGAAGGAGCATTTTCTGCTAGTCTCTCATCCCTCCCCAAATACAGCAAATCTTCCTGGCCTTTGGAGGTTTTCCCAGAGCACGGGTGCACCACCAGCAGGGTGGTGCTGGGCAAAGGGTTAGAGCTCCTGGTGGCCTCCCCTTTGCCTTGTTGGTGACTGGGAGGGACCACCAGTCCTTCCCTCTCCAGCTATTCCTGCAGTTCCTGATCTTCCAACTTTGAGATGAGCCATGAAGGGCCATGAAAGAGGTGGTGCCTGGGGCCCAGAGGTGGTCTCAGTGGGTCACTGGTACGTGTCTCTCATACCCCCAGTGAGTACCACTCTATCATCATGGTCGGGGCATGCCCGGAAGTGCAACGAGACGGCCAAGTCCTATTGTGTCAATGGAGGCGTCTGCTACTACATCGAGGGCATCAACCAGCTCTCCTGCAAGTAAGTGACCAGTGGGGGTGGGCGTGGGGGCAAGACTAGGGTGAGAGACGCTGGGGCAGAAGTGGAGGGCTCTAGGAAAAGTGGGCTTCAGGCCACTGACAGGGGGTCCCCAAGGGGTGTAGACAGGGAGGTTTGCCCCACTTCCCAGGCCTTTCCTAGAATATAGGGAGATGTACACTCTGAAGGGCTCAGGGCTTCTGCAGTGCCAGGTTCTCAGGCCCCTACCCACCCCCCTCTCCCAGTGTCCACCCTTTCACCACCACCACCTTTTAGGGAGATGGGGATGCCAGTCTATGCCCTAGGCACTGGGTTCTCTCTCCCCCTCCCTTTCTCTCTCTCCCCCTTCTCTCTGTACCACTCACCCCCCCCCCCCGCCCCATTTCTCAGCAACTCTCCAAACTGTGTTCTGATGAACATTTCCCATGGTGTGTCTTCCCCAGCAGTGAAGAGCCTGGCAGGGTCCGGCAAAGCACAATTCCCAGTGCCCTTGGTAGTGGAGGGTCTGCTCTCAGAGCCTTGAGGGGAGACGAGGACTCTGTGTCCGATGCTCACCTCAAGACCTGGCTACTCTCCCTGCCTGGTGTTCAGATACACCCTGGGTGCTGCTTCTGCCACTTCAGACCCTAGCCCCTCTCTATGGGGTCAGGGGACACCAGCAAAGACACCACTCTGGCTGTGGCCCAGACACAACCTGGGGAAGGTCAAGGTTAAGAAGAAGCTCAAGTTGGGGCTTCTCTACCCAGCAGGATTTTCATCCTACTCCCCTTAGCAAACAGGGCAGATGGGAGCACAGTAACCCAGGAGGGCTTGTTCAGGTCCAGCTGGGTCCTATTCAAGCAGTTGAGCCCACGGGACCCCTGACAGGTTCTCTGGTGGGTGTATGAGGAGCCGGAGGAAGAGCTTGGTGAGGGCAGTACAGGTTCTGGCCAGATCCTGAGGAGGGGTAGGGGGCACTAGTTAACAACTTCGGGTTTTCAAAGCACCCCAAGCCTAGGACCCTGGCAAGGTGCCACAGTTGCCCCATTCCCATGGCATCTGGGCAAAAGCCACTAGAGTATTAGTAGAAATTCAGAGAGGCATTTGCCCTCCTCACAGACAAGGTCAGATTCAGCACCTCTCAGCTCTCCTGCCTCTGGGCTCCAGCTCCAGAGCTGCATCCCCCCACTGACTACAGCCTTAGCCAAAGACCCCGCCACCTCACACGGGGATAATGAGGGGCCGTGCCTCCTTGACACTCTCCCCTCTGTGCCAGGCTAGCTGAGCTAGACCCGGACTGCCAGGCAGATCTGTGCCTCTTTCCCCCAGCGGGCCTCCTTTGCCGGCTTCCCCCCCAATCCCACCCTGCACCTGCTGCCATCCCCTTACTGTCCTCCCCCATCCTAAATTTGCAGCCACAGCAAGTCCCCCAGGGAAATTCTCAGCCTGGACTCAGCCCCTCATCTTTCCCTCCTTCTGCCCCTAGGAGGCTGCCACATTAGTGCTAGAGACCGTGTGGAACATTCTAGACTTGAAAATGGTCTGAGCTCTCTGCAATACATCTACAGAAACTCATAAGCGTTCTGGAGTACCCCACAGACATGGCCCGGCCCTGCAGGCCCCTCTTTTTTTAATCCCCAAACAGACACACACACACACACACACACACACACACACACAC